CCAGTTTTATTAAGAAAGGACTTGTGTCGCTAAAGTTTCGTCGGAACGAAGTTACGGAAAATTAACTAACGGACGGAGACGTAACAGTATATATTTTTCGTTTTATAATTTTCCTCAACTACACATTATTCAACCGTAAAATAACGTTAGAGATGTCGCTCTGTAAATGATAAGAAAGCTTATGATCCTCCCCATGTCGTTTATATTTTCATTTTTTAAATGCATAATTTAGAGTTTTAATTTTGGACTTATACAGGTACTGTCTAAAACTAATTTATTCAGTTATATTTAATTCACTTGCTATATTGTTCGTTTAGTTTAAAATGTGAATGTAGAGAACTAACACCATTAATCTTGTATTTTGTAAAAGTAAAACTTTAAAAAGTAGTTCAGATTGTACAGTTCAACTATTTGAAGTATTTGCTCTCATCTGATACTGATAGATCCTCGTTGCTTTATACTTAAAGTATTTGAAGGTTAACAGTAAAGGATGATAGATACATGTTCTCAGACTTTCAAGGTGATACAGTTTACATTACCTTTGGTTATAACTTACAGTGAAAGTAATTAGGGTAGATTTATTAATGTTTACATTCCACTGTAGCATAAATATTATATAAAGAAAATTATAGAAAATAATAAATATATTACTTTATGCTTGAGGAATATTTAAATTAAAAACACAAACAATTTAATAAACAAAGTTGCACATACACATATTAATTATTACAAGTAATATCATAGTACTGATGGATTTATAATGATTGTGTTAATACTATTAATTTGATTTAATATAATGTGCATTGAAAATTTGAAATTAAAAATTTCTTTATGTCACTGTTAGATGGTGAAACTACTTGAGACCAGTAGTATAATCTCTCAAGTGATGTACACAGCCCTGGCACTAGATACACACATTGTAAATCATTTAGTGTTAAACTTGAACCCGTGCTAAATATTAATAAATTTTCTGAACCATTTAATCACAGTGTCAGATCAATTGCAGGGACCACTTAGTGTTATGCAAAAAATAAATTGAAATATATCACACAACGTGAAAGTATATATCAAGAAAATCTTGGGACATATATTAAAAACAACTTTCTTTTCACTGCTTTGTACTGCATAACTCATTAAATTGTTGTTATGAGACATGACTTTCAGATGTTTTGTTTATAACAAGTCACAACACAATTAGTAAAAAGGGTACATACGATGTTGCAAAATAGAGAAATTTTTATAATAATGTTTTTGACTTATGTATAATTACCTAATAAAAAAAACACGTATACATTTGTTAAACCATTATTTTAATTATATTTCCTTGTATAATAAAAATAAGAAATATTATTTTGTAAAAATACTTGTTGATTTTTTTATCTTAATTTATGATCAAAAGTTGTTGCGATGGCCAATGTATGTTAAGATGGGGTTTGGCAAATGATATGAATGGCTGGTGTGATAATTGTTTTAATTTTGCTTGGCAGTCAACTGATCTTATAATTGATTAACTTCTGAAGATGTACTTAACTATAATACAAAAGTAGAAAACCTAATGCTAAGTTACTGCATTGTCTAAGACATTATATTGTCAAACTAAGTTTACAAGTAAACAGGTCATTAACCATGAAGGCTATCAGGACAACACTTTTTATCTACCAATTTCTAGGATGTTTAGCATTGTGTTAGTACTTGAAGTTAAGGAAAACAGTGTAGAGTTTGACATTTAAGTGTTATATTAAAAAACTTGTATAGCTACACCAGAAACACAACATATATAACATGAAAATTGTTAAGCATAAAAACATAATATATAGTTCTAGATTAAGAATTATGTTTTACTAAACCAATCTTGAGTACATAACTGAGATGATACCAAAACATTTTTATAATAATCACTCTTATAAGAAAACAACCGAATATTTCATCTTTTAACTACTATTTGACCATTATTATAAAAAAATAAGTAAAAACAATTTACTGAAGACCAAAACAAGTTGAGCTCTATGTATAACTATAGCAATGTGCACTTGTAGGATGGATATATACCACAGTTGAAAGGTTAAACACTATGAACCTCTTCCTTGTATATTATAATAGTTACTGAGCAAATTATAACAAAAAAAAGTGTTTTAAGGTAGTTTAGGTTAGAGATAATTACTGAGCTGTTTATGTATGACTTTTCTTAGTGTGTGTGTGTTTTGCATAAATTTTAAATGTTTATAGCTGAAAAAGGAGGGTTTGATTCCCCCAAAACCTTTGTTACATGCATGCTCTAAATAATGTAACAGTGGCTACTTTTATAGCATGTAAGCAATATGATAAGCTAAAGTATTGTTCAGTTCCAACAAGGTAAACATGAACAGTAGGCATCATTGGGTCTAGCTCTTTATAAGGCAATGTAACCTCACATTCAATTACATTATTAGTTTGTAAAATATTATCCCAAGAGTTTGCAGTGGTTGCGCAACCAGCTGGTAGCAACCACTGCAAACTCTTGGGATAATATTTTACAAACTAATAATGTAATGAGTTGCTAACCAAAGGAAGGCAACCTGCTGGTAGCAACCACTGCAAACTCTTGGGATAATATTTTACAAACTAATAATGTAATGAGTTGCTAACCAAAGGAAGGCAACCAGCTGGAATTCCTTTGGTTAGCAACGCAAAATGAGAGACAGTGGCAGATAGTCCTAATAGCTTTGCCATTACTCAAAAATAAATATTACGTCTGTGTAGCTGAAAGAGTCAACATGTTTGGAGTTAACAGGAATTCAAGTGCAAGTCCCTCTAATAATGAGACCCTCCCATTCCTAATCACCAGCCCATGCCATTCCACAGCTGAATAAACTTGAACTGTTTGAAAAAATAACAATGAGAAATCATAATGGCAGTATTTTAATTATTTGGATAGTTGAAATAATGAGAAGAACGTTTGATTAGTTGATTATTTTATATGGCACCAACCAATGTAATTGATGCTCAGAGGTAATTTATTGTATTGTCAAGCTTTACTTGTTAGATACCAATTTTTAATCCATGGGTTTAAAGTTACAAACCATTTAGGAATGGTTATTCAAACCTGTCAAGTCATTACCGTGCTTGTTTTTAAATGGTTTGTTTTTCTGTTTTTAAGATAAAATATGAGATTCTAAGCTGTTGTCAGTTGCTGTGTCATGGAACCATGCAGGACATATCAGATTCTGAGATCACTTTTAACAGAAGAAACTGAAATATTCGCTACGACTTTCAGAAGGAGTGACCACCTCATCTTAAAGTTTTCCAGCAGTACAACATTAACATCGGATGTAACAAAAAATGATCAATTTTGTAGAAGACTTTTGTATTATAAACTTGGAAACACAAGGTAAAGTCTCTTTCATTACAATATGTATATACAAACAAATGTGTAATATACAGATATTATATATTTTACTTTTGTATAGTTTATTTCTTCTGTACAAAATTCTGGAACAGCCTGAGGTGATAACTTTTGTGGCTTCCAGGTATCATCTACTGTTTCATGAATAGTTGCATGTCGACTTCTTTTCTGCTTAGTCAACTGCAAACAAAGTGGGCATAGTTTGTAAACTTTTTTAAATCCTGATCCTGATCTTTGAAAAAAAAGAAGTTCATTTTTTTTTAATCTGTAAGAGTCAAAACTTGCTAGCAGTGTTTAATTCAGGGGTTATATAGAGGGGAATATACCCCATGTGCAAAAAATTCCCTTCCTGAAGTACAGTATTTTCCATTTTGTTGAATTTGAATTGATTACCCACCAGCTTCACATTCCACCCCAACCCCTTGATGAAAAGGTCTGGATTCAACACTGCTTGCTAGTTAAGTTTTATATGTGAGATAAACCATTTACCTGTCACTGCAGTTACTTGTGTAAGCTAACATCCCTTAATCTTTATGTAGATTAATTTTCTAATTCCTACTGGAAAAACCAGCATAGCCCAGCACCAGCTGTTGACCAGCAGGTGTTGTGTCTGGAGACATGGTCTTGCTGGTTAGCCCAGCTTGTCCCAGCTCCTGTCAGCTGCTGCTCATCCACAACTGGATAACCTAGTTCATATCTGTGATTGTTCATTCTGAGCTGGTTGGTTTAGCTTAGCTAATTATAAAACTTTATGGTTCCCAGTTCTTTCTGGTGATTATATAAAATTTATACTGCTGTTTATTTTTAAAATACCCATTTGTTTTAAATTTTATCTTAAGTGAATCACTTTTTTTGATTGAATTAGTTAATTTGTAATCTTCACTAATGAACAGCTTTTTTCAAAACAATGCATTGTTAGTATTTTTTTCGCTTCTGTGAAATTTATCTTAAGACGTTTCGGCAAAAAGTTATTCTTGTTTGAAAATATGAAATTACACAATTATTTTAGTTTAAGCTAGCTTTTATTGCTACATAACTTTACATTCTACTTCCTATGTACAATCTATTAAAGAATGTACTTATGTACATCAGCTAAGGACATGTATGTACTGTATGCTTTTCCTTTTGGGAAGATTTCCATGTCTTCTGGATTTAAATGTACTAAATAAAAGTATCTATTGCAATTTTAAACTGTATTGCTTGGAAATTAATGAACTTTAAATAACTGTTTGTTGTTTAATTAGTACAATGTATAAAATATTAATGTATTAAAGTCTTCATTTATGATTTATACTAACTATATTGATAGATACTGTAGTGCAATCATTAAGTAAACTGTAAAAAATAAAGTTTTCACAGAAGTGGACAAGATAGTAAGTCAGAAGATGTTCTTTAAATAATTGGTAAGTTTTTTTTTTTATTTCAAGTTGATGGTTGTAATTAAAACTAAATATTTTACACTCACAGTAATTATTAAATTTTTCTTATGGTCGCATACAAAAATAGATTTTGAGATGCATAGACATCTTTGTATGTGTGTGTGTGTGTATATATAAACTTATATTTTGTGTAATATAAATTACAGAACAGGTCCTTTTCATACATTTATTTATTTTTCTTTAGGGTTCAAGCATGGGATCTAGCTTTGTTTATTCCAAATGTTCTGTTTCTGGTTTTTCTGGTATTAAGAATTAATCAAGCAAGACGAAGATTTAAAGAAAGTAATATTCCTGTGTTATACACTGTTTACCATTTGGTAAGTTACAGTTCCGAAGTTGTAGTTTTTAACTTTTATCTCAGAATATGTCTTTGATTATTGGGTTAGTTGCTCACAGTACAACTGATGATATTCATTGGATGCTGTTCATGTACATTGAATTAACTAAAAGACATATGTTTGTATTACATGTAGTTATTAGGTTTTGTTTTTGTTTCCAAATTAATAATGATATCACAAATCTGTTGCCTTTACCATTCTACAAATGGTAGGCAGTGGTGTTCAATCTTAGCCATGATTAACTGGTAATAATACAATCTATGTGGTTGACATGACTTGAATTTATACTTTGGAACTGTTTGTCTTAATGAAAAAAAACTGTGATGAGTGGACACTCTTTGGCAGTTGTTCACTGTAGGTTCCAGTGGTCTCACCCACAGACGACAGTGTTCACCAGACTACCGAGAAACTCTTACTGTGAATCTACTATACCATAAAAGAGAATAATCCTGATGTTACAGTTGTCCTTCTGTAGGCCTACATTAAAAATGAGGATAAATAACATAAAAAAATAACTTACTTGTACAAAATATCTGCAATAAATAACACTCTGACTGATTTATTCTCTATCTTAAAATCACTCTACACTCTAACTAATTTCATAAATATAATCTACTTTTGAATATGCTTCAAACTTTCTAGGTGTTGTATGCCCTTTAGCTAACAAAATACAGTTTATAACACTGTTTTAATAGTAAGATATTTGAATGTGCAGTGGTGTGTGTGTTCTAATGTCTTTGTTGTAGGACACCAGCATTCTCAACTAATGTAATAGCAAGTTCATGATTGACAATATTTTAGCTCATTTGTTAAAATGAAAAGATTGATTGTTTAGATCATTAATAAGCTTATATGTACTTCTTGTATTTTATATGTAAAATTTAGATGGTTTACAGTGCATAGTTTACAGTTTATTCTCTCTCTGTCTTTTGGTCTGAGACTAGTAGAAACTGGCCTTAGCAATGTTGCTCGATGTTAACAAAAAGTAGAACACCAAAGATATATATATACACACACGGATACAGTTTTGATAATAGACATTTGAAAATAATGGCTGGAGACGGCTTGAATGGGTAATGAAGCAAAACTTTAATATAAGTTTAACATAACAGCAAGGTTTTGTCATCATCAGGTACCTTGTACATGTTGTACACTTGTTGTTATGTTAAACTTATATTAAATTTTGCTTCGTTACCCATTCAAGCCGTCTCCAGCCATTATTAGTCTCAAAGTGGGTTCCTCGTCATCGAATTTGAAGACATTTGAAAAATCAATATTAAGCTCGTATAACATTATTTATTATTTTTAAACTTTCCGGAACAGACTGGAGGATTGATGCCAATTTTACAAAAAACAACATATCCATTGTTTCTTGATAAATTTGACCTGCAGTAGTAGATATTAGTAAAAAATAACTCAGTTTTCTAGATTGAACTGAAAGTCAGTGACGAGACTAGCTTGTAATAAAAATTCCTATAATCTTGTAGAATATTTTCATAGAAATTAAGAGTTAAGGTAAAAACAAATCAGACAAGCCCTTTGTAAGCCCCATGCTTTCCCATGAAGATTATTATTATTAAAGCTACAATTAATGAGAAAAATCATCAGTATATAGTTTTCTGTTGCTTGTATATTCATGATTAACACTAGTTTTATTCCGGCTGTTATACAAAAATTCGACAATCAAGAGTGTCACATCCATACTAAGTAAAATTGATTTTTTTAGCTCGAAAGCTTTATAAAAGTGAAAGATATTTATTCAGATACAATTTGAACAAACAGTTTTAAATGACAGAAAATGTCAGGCTGGTTCTAGTAGTGTTCTAGTGCAGTACTATGATGCACTATATATGTTTCAACCCCTTTAGTTAAAAAGCAAAATGTTTAAAATTACATTGTTTTTCATAGTTCTTCCTTTGAATGCAGAGAGACTCTTAAAAAAAGTTACTAAATTTTTGCTTTCCTTAGCAGTGAGTGGGAACTATGTGAAGACCAGGGCCAATTAATTGATTTTCTTATATGAATAAAAAGTGCTAAATTAAGAAGCTGAGCTGGCCTTCTCAACCAATCAGATAATAGCTGCAGGCAATCACACCCTTAGTCTGCAACACCTCCTACCAGCTAACCGAGATAATGAGTACAAATCACAGCTTTTTATGTTCTAAAAAACTGAGGTTTATTGATGTATTTGTGGTCATGTTTGTGCTTTAAGAGCTCAAGATTATGTACAGTTTCATTAGTCATTAAGTTGCAACGAGAGCTTTTAAAGCTCTCACGTTCTAAGTTAAAGCAAGTTTTTGTGGGTTTTCATTCATTATATGACAGCTCCAAAAGCTATTGAACAGTATAGCCTTTGTTTATTTTCATTTTTAGTTTGCTCTGGTGATTTATATTGTTTATGTTTGCCATATGTGAACAGTGTAGTGTTTGCTTCACACGAAAGTGAAGTGTTTAAATCCAAGCTTGTACTTGGATTTCACAATGCAGACTTTAATAAAAGTAACTGTTCTTCCTAATGTACCCCCCCCCTGGCAAATTAAACTAAACACTACAGAAAAATACTAAATAAAACAATTGCAAGTTAAGATAAACCACAGTATAGCAAAGTCTAAATAAATATTAAAACCTAAACCAAACTCAACACTGTAACTCTTGCTACTACACAAAAGATCATTTGTTCATTGTTTTGCTTATAGTATACTGTGTTGTAACAATTGATAATGTTATCAAACAGTTGTTATTTGAGCTGGTCTCTATTTTCAAGTAACTTTTACATTAAATTGCCTCTAAACCCCTATATCCAAGAACCTCCTGTTAGCATCCTTAACTCTGTGGCCAATCCGTGCAATAGTTTGTTAACAGGTTTCCTTTTTTGCAGGTTTTTCTCAGTGTCTGTATTAACATTGTACGATGCATGGTATCCATGATAATTGACTCTACATCACATGCTTGGAATCTTGCTGACGAGGTAAGTTGACAGTTTGAATAGTTTTTATAAACACGTATTAAACTCACTTTCAAACACTTTAAAAATTTTCAGTGGCCATTCTTTTACCCCAAAGTATGCTTTGTGTAATAGTGTTTTAGAAAAAAATGTACCATGGGTTCAGTAGTTAATACATAGAAATGTGAAAAGGATTTAAAAGTAAAATTTATATACAGTCCAGTATAGATATAAGAAATATCTATTATAATAAATCTATTTTTAAAATGTACTTTATTCTATAAGTATAGTATTTATTGAAAGAATTAATGAAATTGATATGATGAGGTAGTGATTATGTTTTTATTTTTGGTTTTAAAGTCTTCACGATACTCAAACAATTTCAGAACTATGATCTAGCTATTTTTAGTAATATATAAGTCTATATATTTTTATGTATATTCGTGTTTATTTTAGTTCAATTCTGGCTTTTAGATGTTCACATTTCATACCTTGTATAAACTCTTTAAGTAGTTTACAACCATTGTAATAACTGTTTCTTGTTTATTAATTTACAGAGGGTTGAGTACATTATGCTAAAAGAATTTTGAATATTTAAATTAGCAAGTAACATGACAGCTAACTATAAAGTCATAGTGGAATAGCATGTACCAGAACTACATTTTGACATTGTGTGACATTTTTTAGGAAGTGTAATGCCACCAAATATTTATTGTTTTGGGGAAGGGTATGAAATATCCCTTTCCATTGCGAAATATTCTTATGCTCAGGTCAAGGTTTCAAAACTTCAAAAGTAATGATATCCCTTGTACTTAACCCTCTCCAGATGGGTCACGAGTCAAAGGCCATGTCATCGCGTTTGTTGACTCGCATTCAACATTTTATTGAACTACTATTTCATGAATTTATGTCAATAAGTTTGGTTTCAAACTGTAGATTATAACTTAAATTTTAGTACTATACACTATTTAATTTTTTAATTTAAAAGTAAATATTAGAAAACACTTAAACATCAATTTTTGTGTGTCACATGGTGTGTTGAATGCAGCATTGGTTCAAATTAGATGTTTGTGATGTCAAAATACAAAATCTAAAGTTTCATACGAATTAGGAATTCAAACTACTGATGTTGACATGCTAGAATATAAAATAAGAACCTCCTGTCTTTTCTGTTTGCTGAGATATCACTCATGTAATGAATCAAACACAGTGGCCCCGCTCAGCTCTTTCCATTTTTGGAAACAGTTCCTTATATACACTTACTTCAATATAGAACATATGAATGACGAATCGAAAGCTCGGAATGTTCCCATAGTGGCTTTCTCAGCCATTTTCTTTCAAACCAAGATTTCAAGGAGGTAGGTTGTGTCTTTAATCTGCTCGAAATTTCTTTTACCCAAATACAGCTTAGTTACTAAGCTTGATAAATTATAGTGGAATTCTGTGGTATCATTATAGTAATTTATGATTGTTTGGTTATTCAACTGTATATATAAAACCTAAAAAAAATTATTTTGTTTCATATCCTCTACGTGCAAAATTTTAAAAGGCTTAGCAACCAAGTACAAAAGTCATAATTAAAAGAGATAATTGTTTGCTTTACTTCTTTATTTAATATTCTACATTTTAAGAAAGATAAGTTTAAGAACTTATTTCTAAATAGCAATAATCTCTCTCTCTATATATAATGTATAATAATTGAAATGTGACTGTATTTTACAAAATACTAGTCTACTAAAACACAGCCAAGACAGGTCACTTTGTAAAGACTAAAGGTCAGTTTTATATTATTGGATACGGTAACATGAGAGCATGTGTGCTGCATCATTGTAACTTCTGTATTGTTAGCCAGGCATGGCTGACAGGTCAATATAATAAAAATAATAAACATATATAAATGTATAATATTATGAGGCTTAAGCTGTTTAGTCAAAACATTTATGTTTTTGTGTTATAATTTGCTGTCATTCTAGAATGAAAAAGGCATAATTTATATTTATTTCCAAATATTTTATGGTGGTTGCAAGATCGGTCAAATCTACTGAACCTGTACAGAGATTCGTTTGTGAAAATAACAGATAACATAAAGTTTTTCGTAAGAAACATTTGATAACTATCTGAACATTATAAAGATTTGAGAATTTTCTGATGCATAAAAGTATTTTTAATTTTAAAATGAAAATTACTTTGCATGTTGGATAAGCAATATGCGAAAAGAAAAGAAAAGCATGAGAAAAACATTGCTTAACAAACCTTAAAAATTAATAAAAAATTGATATTTTGCATATGAAAGCATTATAATGTTTAGTGATAATTAGCTAAATTTTGTTAACATATGCTTACTAATTTAAAAGTTATAGCATGAAAACTATAACAAGCACAAAATGGTTACGAGGTCGGGCCCAGGTATTGAGCCTGGGCTGAAAGAATTAATGGAATTAGAAAACAAAAAATATGGATCAATTTGGGGTAATCAGGACCATCCAAAAAGAGACCTGCAACAAGTCACACCTCAGCCATGGTAATCAAAATGTGGTTAAAATCCACAAACATAAGGGCCAGTGGCAAAGTCATCCCACACAATAGTATGCAACATAATCAAGAAGAATTTCCATCTGGTAATGAGGCCAAAATGTTATGGTTTCATCAAGTTAAATCTTTGAGCACAGGTGGGTCAAAATGTACATATCACAATCTCTTTACACAGTTGCATTCAAAGTTCAGTTAAACAACTTTATTTTCAGAGTATGTCAATAAACTTGGC